AAATACAATATAAGAGTAAAAAAAACAAAGGCAAGCACAGCTAAGAAACTCAGAAGTGCAACAATCAAAGGGATTTTTAAGAGCAATTCATGAGATCAAACCGAAGTAAACAGGACCACACTCGGCTACATGAGAGGCATTTTCATTTTCAAACCTCAAAGCAATGTAATAGCTCACATTTGGAAACAGTTGGCTGCTATTTGATTACTTTTAGTTTTGAGAGAGATAACACCCACTTATCAAGAAATTGTTACTCTTGTTATCTGAACCAGCAGGTTCACATTTGTGGATAACAAAAGGGACAATGAGGACTTGGAATAAATCGGCTTAATGTTTTCATAGTTACTGCAGCTTTGATGCCAAAACTAACAAAGTAGGAAAATGAATTTAATAGATAACATAGCATTAAGTGCACCTGCATACATGTATAATGAATGGGAAATACATTCAGAGTTTTAACCGTCCCAAGTGAAATCCGAGGCTTAATCTGTATTTACTGAAAGATTGTGAAAACTGTAATGATAAATCCTCACCATGTAAATGCATGCTCGTTGCACAACAACCCTTGCCCCCATTAAATTAAGTGCCTTTAACATATGACCACAGGGAAAAAAAGTGCATAAAAATCATGTCAACACCTGATTAAGGTTGCCGAGAATGCTTGTTAAAAAGGCCATCCATTAGAGAACCATTAGACAGTCGCCAGCAAAGCTGAGAACGATGCTTCCTCCACAAACTGCTCATTATGGAAACATATAATGATGGATTTAACAATGACATGTGACATAAGACAGTAACAAGATCTGATAGAAGACAACACAGGATGATCTATTCATATATATTCATAACCAACACCACATTGTGGTGTCAATGTCTCTGGGATTTGAATAGCAGGATACAACAGCATCGCTACCCTCCCTATACCATCCATAGGTGGTTTGTGCATATTTTGTGGGCAGCAGGACAACCAAGGTTATACGTCACCGATTTCCCTATTAAATATGGGGAAGTCTGTCAGGAAGGCCTACCTATATGTGGACTGGAGGAAAGAGTGCATAAAAGTCAGCATCAGAGCCCTGGTGCACTTAGCAGGAATGTGCCTGAAGTCCATTAACCCTTTATAGGGCACTCTTTGAAAGACTTGGAAAATGAACATTTCAACCCCAGAGTGTTACTGAAGGATATGTCAAGATATTTTTACTTTTGTGACTTTTCAAAAAGAAAAAAAAAAAAGTTGAAAATCAAGACTAATAAAGTTACCATACATGGTAACTTGCCCATATATTGTTTTTGTTTTTTTTTGTTTTTTTAAATGAAGGAAAAAGAAAAATGCGAGAAACATTTATCTAGAAAAATTTTAGTTTGAGGTAATGATACGTACACAACCAGTAACCAAGTATTTATAAAGTGCTTGTCAAGTTCATTTAGTACCATTTGTCTTGATATTGGCAATAATCTCAAAAAATAAATCAAAGTAGAGTTCAAAGCAAACCAGGAACAAAGCATTTATAAAGTACCTGGAACAATAATATGAAATAAAAAAATAATATAAAAATTAAATCAAAGTGCACATGGTTGTCAAACCCCAAGAAGAGGCACAGGACGGACATATTGAACGTCCAAGGAAGTTACCAAATATGGTCACTTGCCCCACGAAGGGTTAAGGTTAAGATTGGGATCGGGCTTCTGTTTTATGACTAAACACCTGCAAAACTAGTTTTCCTCAGCCTCAGCTTCAACATGCTAACGTAAGATGTATCTTAGAGTTTTTGTGTCCTTTTACTGATATTCCTGTGATTACTTTTCTAAATTTACTTTAGAATTCTAAATAGTCTTTTATTGTATTTGTCTAAGTCTACATTTGGTATGTTAGGTTCTACAACGTCTAGCACTAATAACTGCAGTAATTAATGATTTTAAAAAAAGAATTGCCAAGGATTTCACTAATCATTTCTCAGGCAAAAATGCCAAACATTCTTGTTCCAGCTTCTCTTATTTAAGCTGCTATTCTCACCTATGTCATTATAAATTTCATATCAGTTCCGAGTCTGAGGAATTCCAAGAATTTTTTTGACATTTTACAGACTAAACAATCAGCCAATCAGACAAACACGACCTTAATGATAATGTTATGTACTGAGGTCTCCATTGTTTGAGCTTGCACATAGATTTTATGCTTTTTTACAGCTTTTGTTTTTTTTGCCTGATATTGATTGGCAGAACACCTCCAGTTTTGGCATGCAAAACCCCCATTTGTATCCCCGTCGTGCATGGCTGCCACGGATAATGACACAGATAAGAATTTTAATGAGAAAAATGTCATCTCCGACCGTCCCTTTCTGTTCCTGCAGGTGTCTAAAGACGACCGCAGCGACATCGAGTCCAGCTCTGACGAGGACGACAGCCCGCCGCCCAGTCAGAAGCACCACAGCAGCGCCACCAACGGGACCAACAAAAATCACGGGACCAACGGCTACCTGACAGGAGCCCCGTATCCCGACGAACACTGACTAAACTGATATCACAACAGTTGGGGGGGGGGGGTCATGCTTCGGACACCATCGATTTATCTGTGTGTGTGTGTGTGTGCGTGTGTGTGTGTGTGTCTGAGTGTATGGTGGAGACATGAACAACATCGCCTGTCTGGAAGTAGATTTACGTGAATGCAGTTTTGTTATCGGTTCTTTACTAATTTCCTTGCGCAATTTCTTCTCTTCATCTATATATTTGCATCAAAACTGCACACGGTGAAATATCAAACGCACTCCTATCAGTACAACCCACTCTCCGTTTAGCCGATGAATGACAGCATTCCAACTCTATGGTGTAAGCATGCTACTTTAACATACAGCAGTCTGGCATACTGGGGGTGTGTTTTCTCCTCTGTTCGTGTCCTTGTATGTTATTTATTTTTTATAAATATGTTGGCAGGTTGTAGTCAGTTATCTATTCTTACCTTGATGTCAGTGTTAAAGATGAATTAATCTTGAACAACAACACGGCTGTTTTTTTTTTTTTGTTTTTTTTTCACATCACACGTCACGATAAACGAGCAAAACGCTGAAGACCCGGGTTTACTTTTAACGCTACACCCCCAAAGATTTACCAGAACGGTGACCGAGATTGTCTTCACTCACAAATGGAAATCGTAATGTGAAGTTGACTCACATTTTTTGAAAAAAAAATACAAACATCCTCCACTCGAATTGTATATGAGATGTCAATAACAGTATTATGTGTGCGCATCAGATATGGCTACGTGCTGTATTCCCATTTGAAGCATTTTGTTAAGTATTCTGGTACATTTCTGGTAAGGATTACATTAAAGGCCATTTGTCTTCTTATGAGGCAGACATGAGTTGTTTGAATTATTCAATAAAATAAAAATAAAATAAAAAAAACATGATGATTGCAAATATGTGTGGGTGTGTTGGAAAAAAGCTTCATCAGTGAGGGGCGGCTCCGGTGGCCTGATGGTTCGCACAGCACTGCAGTGTCAAAAGGTCTGATGGGAAAAGGGCTAAAGGGAGCCACATGTGCCTCTGCAGAGTCGGCTAGAAACACATAAAAGCAGCGGTGTAAAGTAACTAAGTACATTTACTCAAGGGCTGCACAGAAGTATCCTTTTGAGGGGCTTGTACTTGAGTGTTTCCATTTTTTCGGCACTTCATACTTGCTCTCATCTCCAGGAAAATACTGTATTCAACAGCTTTAGTTACTTTTAGGATGAATATTTTTACCAATGGATACATTTTTTAAAAATACAACACATTGTTAAAGATTAAACAGTTCTTAGCAACCTCTTTGGTGTCCAACATCTTACAAAAAGGCAGTTTTTAGAGTCTGAGTTGTTAGCAGCTCCACCAGATAGTCATTTATTTTATTAAATGCTCAAATGATCCAATATCTCAGTGAACAAGATTAAAGATTAGTGATGACCCCTCACATTCATCTCATGTCCCTAAAACTGTAGAGGACCAAACTCTTACTGTAAAAATTTAAAAGCATCCTCCTGTTTCTTATGCATACTTCCATACTTTCATTTACTACACTGGGTATATTTCATGCAGGACCTTTATTTACAGTATAATGAGGTTGTTTTTTTTTAACATGGCTGTATTGGTAGTTTTACTTTAACAAAGGATCTGAATACCTCTTCCCCCACAAACCATTTCACCTGCCATATGCTGAAATGCAACGTAGCGCAGCTGTTAAACACCTGGATATATACTACACTCTAAATACTCCCACAGTTTGCATGATAAGGTATCATTCATTCCTAAAAGAATTTTGCATCAGATGACACAGTCACACCATTACCAATGTTCCCTTTAACACAGGGTTTGTAAGTGATTAACAATGGCTTGATTTAATAGCTTCAAGCAATTTAAAAAAAATTAAAAACTTTTGGGGATGCCACATCGTAAAAAATAAAATAAATAAACCCTTTAAGTACTTGAACGTCTACCTGGACCAAAGCCATTCATTTACAAGTTACTATCAGTGACAGCTCCAGATTTAATGCTCATTAGTGAGCCTTTATTAAAAGATTAGATTGGATTTTATTTTGGGACGTTGCCTTTATGACACCCTGGATCATGTTAAAGTTGTCTTTATAGTTTGGTGTCACAACACGGTGTACCACAACATTTGTAGCTGCACATAACCCGACAACCCAAAACATGTTCTCATTGACAGCTTACAAACAGTCTGTAAAGTATTTACTAAGCCTTGAGAAATTAGCTACACTTTTAAAAGATGACTTATTCAGAAGTGCCACTCCGTTTGTTCACTTCCTTTCAACATGACATGAAGCTGTTTTGTCATTTATTTTCTTTTGGCTTGTGATTTATTTCCACCTGTTGCAGACTGACCTGCCGTCATTAACGCTCCACGCCTGCCACCAGCTTCAGTTTACACTTTTTTTTTTTTTTTCCCCACTCCTCTCCCTGGAATTTTCCTTTGTATGGCGCACTTGCACACACTCAGGTGATTTCCGCATGAGTGACTTTGGGAGGAGAGTGGCCAAAGTTCCAGGTCCAAAGTCAACCAACAGCCACAGTCTTAAAGATGAAGGACCCTATCAGCACCTGCACTGTGAGTACTTCTTTTTTTTAAAAATGAGGGCAGTGTTTGTTGTCAAAATACTGCAGAGTAACGCATAGGATATGCAGATAATATGCCAGACAGATCACACAACTATCACAATCACAACTAGCTTTGCAGTGGCTTGCTTCAGGCGTTAACTGCCCCACGGCACAGTCTCATGGAGTGTTATTCACTGTCTTTCAGTATAACCAGCTCTATCAGAACGTGAAACGATACTCAAAAAATGGGGAATACTTCTGCAAAGAGCTAATGACAGTTTTTCAGCAAAGGTAGGTTCAGTAAGGTTACAGATAAAGAAAACATTTCTGGATTATTTTTCTTTTTAACTGTCACTTGCTGCCGTGCTTCTCGTCCACATAGGGCTGAGCTGGAGCTTACTTACGCCAAAGGCCTGCAAAAACTCGCTGGCAAACTCATCAGGGCCTCCAAAGGAATGTCAAACAAGTAAGAGACCCAGTGCAGGATTTTTTAATTGGCTCTATCTTTTGTCTCTTTTTGTGTTTAACATGACCTCTCCCTGGGACTAACTGCCATGTGGTGTAGAGAAATAATGGTATCATGGGAGATAACATGCACCCAGCAAGTTAGATGTGATCAAAACACAGGCAGGTGTCAGACTAATTAGCCCAAAGCTCTAACCTTTTCATGCTGGCTCCCCCACTTAGTTCCACCTACAGCGCCTGGTGTCATGTGTCAGATGAGATGTACTCAAGAGCAGACGCCCACAGGTAGTTTTCAACCTGAGTTCACCTCATACCTGAGCCCGTCCACACGTTTCAAACAAAAATAACGCCAGGGCGATTCGGAGGGTACATCTGGTGCGATTTCATTCTCACTCTCATTTCAGATCTTTAGGAAACGCATTTCAGCAAGAAGCAATTCTGGAAATACGACAAGTCCTAGACGAGCACAACAAGAGGAAGAGGCCTGTGTGTGACTTCTTCTTTCTCTCTGTATCTGTAACGTCTCTGTTCTAGCTTGCAGTCATATCATAATGCGTCTCTAACCCTCCTCTGCTTTCTGATAGCTTGACAGCGCCATTGAAAGAAATGGAAAACTTGTTACTGCTAACTGGAGTGAACAGCTCAAGGTAGGGAATCATCATGTCACAAATATATATAACGAGATAAGAATCAGCTGTGGTGGAGCTGCTGGATTCTAAATCCATAAAAGGCTTGTGTGGCTGTAAGATAATGAGTCACATATAGTGAGGGCCTTACAGGGCTGCATTATAGACACCTGCATAATGCATTACAACGCATGCATAATGCATTGTCAGGGTTGATATGAGCTTTAATAATGCATCGCACTGTGTTAAATCAGTTACAAGCCATTAGAAGTTTGGACGCAACACTCTGAGGGATTTTAATAGTTACGAATTTTATCATTTTTGACGACACATTACAGAGGTGGGTGTAGCCGTGGAGGTATTATGGCCAGTCATAACCGTTCTGCCTGCACGCTGTGGTGACAGAAAGCGTCTAATGTCCACTTGACTTTATAGCCTGTCATGCAGAATGGGTGGATTTACACTGAGTCACTGATGTTATGATCAAACCTAAAAGGGCTTTTGGTTTGTTGCTATGAACCACTGCGCAGTTATGAGGCCAGTTATGTTGGTTGTTGGATGGAAAATGTTGAGCGAAATAGCGTCAGCAACAAGTACACATAAAGCTCAGTTTGATATTAGATAAAGAAACCGAATGAATTAAAAGATAAACAAAACGTTACAGATTTTTACTAATTCTATAAACCAATAAATATTAGATTTATGAAGGAGTTCATATCCACTGCTTTGATGACCTTTAAATATTGTTTTTGTATGTAGCTGACTGTGCATCATTCTCCTTTTAAAAATATCTCAGTCTTTGTTTCTTCAAAAACACCGCACAAGAAAAAAAAACTTTACAAGAAAACAAGTTGAACATTATATTTTCAATCAGATTAACCCTTGTTCACCCACAGCATAACAAAGTGCTGAATGCAATGTTACTTATCAGTTTAATGTTCTTATGTTATCAATATTCTCATGTGATTTCTTGTGTTCCTTACGTTTTAAAACAGATAAAAAAGAAATTAGTTGGACTGACCAGAGAACACGAGGCCCTGTTCAACTTTGTGGAAAACAACAGACAAATCTGCACTGAGAAAGAAAAACAAAAGGTACAAGACATGGTTACCAAACGACTGTGTTTCCATCACTGCATGCGTTTTTGTGATCTGGGAGAGAACGGTTGCTGGAAAAGCTGCCAGCAGAGTCGCTAATGATTTTCTTTTCCACCGTTCTTGACTGCAGATGCTTAACAGGCTGACTAAGTCAGCAGAGATGCAGACGCGGGTGGATGAGGAGTACTTTAACATCAACATGGAGGGTCAACAGATGAGACTAAAGTGGGAAAACACGTTGAAAACCTGCTACCAGGTGGGGAAAAATGCTTCGTCATTTTACTCAAATTTAGCTGTTCACTCTTATCGAGAGTGGCTTTTTTGAGTCCTGCTCAAGGGCATCTCATTTGTGATAGGAGTGGAACCAGTGAGTGGCAGAAAAGAAAAGCTCTGGGTCAGTTTAACACCCAGATCGTGTGTGTTGACATTCAGTCATTCTGCAACTTATTTCATGCCGTATTATCTGAGACACACACATTATCCAGCGTGCAGCAAGGAACAGCAGCACAAGGAGAAATGAGGAAAGAGCCTTGTTCAAGGACACGTCAGCAGGACACGAGGCTGGTGGCTCAAACACATGATCCTTCAGTTAATGTGCAGTCGTTCCAGACGCGATGACCTCATTTCCCTCAGCGCTTTCATGTTAAAGTTACCTCAGGGTTAAAAGACAATCATCCAACAAGTGGAGATGTGTTAGGTGCTCCACAGAGTTAACGACACGACCTGGAGTCTCTCTAATTAGCATCCCGGCTTTCTTCCTTTTGTTTCAGATCATACAGGAGCTGGAGAAACAGCGGATCGAAGTTCTGTGCAACATTTTGGGCAGATACAACCTCCACATGTCCGGCTGCGGGCAGACCCTCAAGCATGTAAGACACCCTGACCTCCGATCACCCGAACACGGTGAATCGCTTTCAGGATGTGATTACCTATCTGCACCCCCTCCTTCTGCTGCTTCTAGGGTCAAAAACAGATAGAGCAGGCGGTGCAGCGGGTGGACGTGGATAAAGACATACAAAAGCTGCTGGAGGAAAACAGCATCCCAGCACAAGACAACAAAGCAGAGTTTTTGATGGCTGATTATTTTGTAAGTCTCTTTTTTTTGCTGTAGGAATCTGCTGTTACATTTTGAAGAGAGGGTTTTTCTTTCTGCAGGCCACAGACTCATTCAGTCAGTCACCCATTAAAAGACAAACCCAGTCATCTCTGCAGGGGGCTTCTTTCTGATGAGAGTGTACACCGCAGATACCAGAATCTGCTCGTAATGTTTCAACAGGACCTGACATGAAGCCTGCACTGTGTGTCTATTGTTTTAGTGCACATATTATTATACTGTACATTTTAAAATAAGGTAGCTATCTGGTGCTGCTCAGATCTTTCTTAGCAAATCTGATGGTTCTGATTTAATGAAATGTAGAGAAATACACATGAATGCAGCGCAACAGCAACAAAAGGATTCGATTTAAAATTTCCACAAAGTACTCTTGGCCCAATCAAATCCACGACACAGAGACCTTGCAGCTTTTTTTTTTACACATTCACTATCAATGGCGGGACCCTGATAGATGTGATGTGATAAATCCCTGTTGTCTGTGTTCAGGAGGAAGACAGCAAATCACTGATGGGCAAAGACAGAAGAAGAGACGCCATCAAGCTCAAACTCCAGCGTCTGGAGGACACCATCGCCAAAACAAAGAAAGACTGCGAGGGCAAGTTCATGTAATTTAAAGAATGAATGGCCGGTCCCTGAGTAAGGTCGTTGGTTTTGTCATTGAAATTTTGAAATCTTGTTACAGGAATTGAAAAGCTGATAAAAACATACTCTGAAAATCCATCTTTTTCCAACCAAAAGAACCTTGAGGAAACCGAACAGCAGCTCGACGAGGTAAATGCTGCGCAGTGAATGGATAAATGACGGATATTTGCGTTAAGCTGATGGTAAATCAGATTCGCTCAAGTGATGGTTAATGTCGTTTGTTACCTATAGAGCACTCTAAAACTGGATCTACTCGAGGCCACTCACTACAAACTCTCTGTATCACTGTCTGAATTAGACGGAAAGCCCAAGTCACTCCACCGATTCAGTAGCAGCATTTTGAAATGGAAAGATAAGGTAAGACGAATGAGTCACCTTCACAACAGACTGTATTATGTGGTAGCTTATTAGTTTGCATGGAAGCTTTTGTGACCGCAGTTACTGGCATGAATCCTTTGAATTAATGGAAACTATTGAGGTGGGGGAAAAAAGAACACATCAGCACCGAAAGCAGAAACAACCAGAATGTTGGTGGACATATGACGCATGAAAAAAGGACAGTGTAAAAAAAAAAAAAAAGCATCTTCTAAAAGTACTTTTTATTTGATTAGTGTATGATAGCTTCATTAAGAAAGCTCCCTGTGACGCGTGATTTTAGATACAGAGCAAAAAACAGATAATTCCATCTTCACAAACCTTCAGAAAACCCACTTTTCCATCGTCTACCTGAGACAATACCAAAGTTATCTCTATTTTTTGTCATTTCTACTGAGTCAAATCCATTCAGCTTCAGTTTGATTGATATTATCTCAAGCAAACAACAAAAAAAAAATATGTTTTCTGATAATCTAGAAAAATGGAGTTATCTGTTTCTGCAAATGAACTCTTCACGTATTAGCTCAAGAACCACTTTATCCACAACAATCTTTGAAATGTGTTTTTCTGATCTAATTTTAAAGTAGATTTCACAATAGACTATTACACAAAGGTGAGTAATTTTCTATACAAGACATAGTGCTTGGGGGACTCCATCTCTTTGATTCGGTCTGCATTTGTACCATTACACTTTAGCTGGGCCTTTCAAATATTTATCCATTTACACTTTTCTGGCCACTCGCTCACTCTTCTTAACACACGCTCAATCAGTGTTGTAGCCAGTTTAGATGTATGCTGTATGTTGTATGTGTCTGTGAGGCACTTGGAGGCAAGGGGTACCTACACACACCTGCACACAGGTAGCAATAAGGAACAAACAGGCAGGAAAAGGCAGAAAAAGGGAAACACAGGCAAGCAGGGGAGGCAAGGGAAGCCACACAAAGCCACAACCATGCAACCCTGAATGGCTGAAAGCGTATAATAGGACTTTTTGTATATGAGCATAGGAGCCAGTTGGCACCCAACCTCGCACACGGCTGTTTTAAAAGATGCAAAAGACACGAAAAAAAACATGTCTACACACAACAACAAGAGGGAAAAACCCCCAAAAAACCCCAAAAGGCACATTTTTGTCGAGAGAGAGCCCCGACACACAGTATGTAGCATTAATCAGTGCTTCAGGGTGGTGGGATGTGTGCCCTCTGCAATAAGTCCATCATAGCTGGCAGTGTTTCTATGTTTCTTTTCTTCCTAAACTTTTCTAAAGATAAATAATGTCGACCTTTTCTGCCCAAGGACTGTGAGCACAGCGTCGTTCAGCTGACTCGTCCAGTCAAACTCAGGAGGACGCCATTCAGGTCCCGACAGTCGCTGAGAGCGTCCATCATTTACAAAGGACCGGCTCAGTTTGGAGCACAGCAGTCTGTGGAGCCTCCACCAAATGTCACTGACCAGGAAACCTCCACAGCTGCCACACAGGAAACTGTAGCAGTGGAGTGTGACAGCACCGTTAACGGAGCGCTGCCTCACACAGACAACGACGACGACAAAGGACAAGGTATGTACAGAGCACTAGCACTACGATTTATTTTATAAATCTGGAAATGCATCATGAAATTAAAACAATGAAAAATATCGAGCAGACCAAACAACACCAGAGCTGTGCAGTATAGGAAAATGCAAGGCCCTGTACGACTTCACACCTGAACACGACGATGAGTTGACTCTGAAAGAAGGTAAGTGGTGACTCAACTGCAGCTTATTTATACCAACAGTAAAGACTGATAACTGATCAAGCTGATTTGTTTCACAGGAGATCTTCTAGATATTTATTCAAAGGAAGAAAACGGTTGGTGGTTTGGCACTCTTAATGGACAGACAGGCCATTTCCCTTCAACCTATGTGGAAGAGCTGCCTGTTTTAGACAGCGTTAAATCATCTGACGCCTGACTGACTCGACTGATTAACAGCAGAAATGCAAAACTCACTGTGATTCAAGAAGATTCCTAAATTCTGCAGTGCTGACACTGCACACACACACACAAAAGAAAATACTTCTATGTATACACCAACAATGTCATTCAATTTAATGCATCTGCTGACAATCAGGATCTGTGATTCTATTTTTTGCTGTGCTCTTGTTACTTGCTCTAAGGATTTATCCACTAAACTTTTATACCCAAATAATTATTTACATTATTTATACTGCAATGTGTACAGACAAACTCGGCTACTGAGAATATTTTAAAAATGCATACTTTATTACATCAATGTGACTGACAGGAAAATGAAACTGTTCTTTGATATCCCTACCATCTGTAAAATGAGTAACGATGACAAAAAAAAAATAAAACTGTTTACATCAATATGTGAGTGATCAGATATTTATTTTTCAGGATTTTAGTGGATGAACAAAAACAGTGACGTCCTTTCATTATGTACAAAAGAAAACATGCTCTCTGAAGGAAGGACTTTGGGGTTTAAAATAATACAAAACATGCAGTTTCCACTAATCTGTAACATGACCGAGCTTTCTCTCATTAATAAGACGGGACACTTGTTAATTATTGCCTACAGAAGTGTATTTGAAATTCAGATCCAGGAGTCCTAACAAGGCAGCTGATGATATATTTACAGACCTGTAATCCCCCTCTGATGACTCTCCATGTAATCCCTCTTGCTTTCATTAGTCCACATTGTAGTGAGAACTTCACTGCATGGTTTTTTTAGCAGCGTGCCTGAGAGATAAACTCCTTTCTGACGTTTGCCAGGAATGCGGATAAATTATTGGTCTCCTGAAGCCGGCTCTCCAAGACTGACAGACACTCGAGGGCAGGGTCACTAGACACAACTGTGAAAATTCAGGGCTTGGGTAAATATTATGGAACGCATTTATAAGGCTTGCTTCAAGATAACAATGATTAAAATGTTAATTACTATCAACAAACACAATGAAAAGACCAAAATCTGGGCTTTAATCATGGATCAATAATTCGATCTCACATGCTGTTATCAGGCTAGAATAATCCAGTTTCTTCTTATCCAGCTAAATTGCTTCTTTGAGGATTGAATTGTTAATTCTGGATGCTGAATCCTGCGTTAGTTAAAGTTAAGGCGTGCTTTGATGCTCCTGGCACAGGGAATATTGAATCTGTGCAGGGAATAAACCAGAGGATTATGAAGGCACTCTGCAACAAAGCTTGCTGCCCCGTGTCAGAGAGTTCTGTCTCAGTGGCAGGTCATGGCTCCTCTAACATACATCTAACAGCACCCAAGGATGGATGAGAAGAAATATTTGGATCATTCCGTCAAGGCCTGCTATGACTCAGGAGTATTAATACAACTGAACATCTACAGAAAAAGCTAATATTGGCAGTTGGAGAAGGCAGAAGACCTGGAGCAGTCTGCTAGGACAGAATCAAACAGACGTACTACAAAACACTAGATTTATGATCCCTAAATTCTTGTCTTTGCCATTTTAGGTTGTTTTATTAAAACTCATCACAAATCAAACATATCTGTTGGCCTAAATATGTGGCTTTGGTTGCACATGCACGGCTTTTTAAAAGGACGTTGTTTGTGTTGGTCTTCCCAAAGCATTTGTGCCAGAAAAAAATACATGTATGGTTCGATATTAGTGAGTTAGACTAAACTACAACCTTCTGGTATTAACTGTGTGTAACTTACTCTGGTATGATCCGTTTTCTTTAATCCCCATTGTGACAACATAAGCACTGTCCTGATTTGAAGGGCTGATGTTCCGGAAAACAAACTGCAACTTTTTACCTTTAAAACGACAACAAACATGTTCGGTAAATTTTCAAGTAATCGTTCTTTTACCTGAAGTCAGAACCAGGAGCGTGTTCCAGGAAGCAGGTTTTACAAATTCTGAAATTAACACTTTAAACTCTCATTTGACAAACATTAGCAGAGAAATTCTGTTAAAATATGAGAAAAGCTGATCAGCGTTTGTTCAGTCAAGTCTGTTCCATCTGAGTTCAGAGAGTGGTGAATCAAAAAAAGGCCAACACTGATGGATCTGATATTACAATTCACCATGGCAACAGGCTAATACACAGCAGAGCCTCAATGTTAATCTACTGGAGGTAAAAAAAAAATTGTGTGACTGCCAGTTCCATTCAGTGTACTTCACCTATTTATCAGACTTAAATCTCCTTCATGCATGATAAAGTAATGGAAGCCTAATTTTTGTTGCAACACATTTTGCACTGCATTTCTTTAGCTGTAACCTGATGCAGATGCTAGAGGAAGAAGATTAGATCAACACGATAAAGCATACGTTTATTTATAGAACTATAAGCTGTGACCTTTTAAGATGCTTTCAAGAACTGAAAAAGTGTGGGATTTTAAACCAAGCAAACATCTGATGTCTATTTACATTGTAATATTCAACAGCATTTATTGACTGTTTAACAAATTACATGCAGCCAGTATTCCAAACTTTACTTTTAACCCAAGTTTAGTTCAGTTTTAGAGTATTTTCAGCTGCACTGCAATCATCCTCACTCAACATAATCTCCAATATAGCAAACTGTGACTAAAAATGTTCCACCAATCACAACATAGGAAGTGATTATTCATAGATCAGTGTTTCAACCCAATTGCAGCGTCAAACTCTGTGCAGAGTTTGAATGTAAGAACAGAGATCACAGTATCTCTTATTCCACTGATAACTGACTGGTCATAAAAAAGGTAACTTCAGTTCACGCAGGGTGCAGATAAAAACTAATATCCAACTGGGATTTTGATCTTCTTTAGAAATGTAAGCCTTGAAAATTAATGCCCTCTCATATGCGCATTGAAATGAATTGTGTGTTTAAGGAAATGAGACAGCGTGTCAGACGGTTTCTTCAAACTTGGTAATTGGAATGGAGAGAAAGAAAGAGGTTCTGCTGAATAAAACCAGGCAGTGAGTAAGTTAGGTTCACCACATTAACTAACCCAGAGAGGTAAAGTCATCTACACTCCCTTCCGCTCACTACGCCCGACCAACAAAAACCGCCTGATACAACCACCACAACAGGGCCGGAGGTCGATAGCTAGACTCTTCTCCTCTGTGGTTCCGGTGGTGGAACAAGTTACCAAACTCTGTTCAATCTGCTGACTCACTCTCAGTCTTAAAGAAAAGACTAAAGACCCAGCTCATCACTGAACACCTTTGTACTTGACAGACTGAAAACAAACAAGAAAACAAACAAAGAAAAAAAAATGACCTCCCACACAGCCTGCTATTGGCATCAACACCCTATCACACTAGAATTTGTTCTATGGTACTTATCCAGATTGTTTTCTCCTGACTAGATCCTTGCTTGTGTTGTATCTGCTCTCAGATGTCCGTTGCTTTGGACAGATGTGTTTTCTAAATGAAATTGTAGAATAGTAATTGTAGAATCTATTTCTAAAGGTGAAAACTTTCCCTTGTCAGGGTGAACAAACTCAAGAGTTTTCATTAAATGTAATTTCTGGAATACATACCAGGGCCTTTTTTGCTGTTTTGAATATATTTACTGTTATGCATATTACAAAGATGTAGGAGTTTCTTCTTTCTTTTCTTCTCTAACCTGGTATACCCTCTCCCCTTGTACAACAGCCCGTGCTCATGTAATAGTACTTGTCCTAAGCGCAATAGCCTCGACATTGTTGAACTCTGAGCGGTAAAACGATTATTTCTGACTAAACCACTTCGGTTTTTTCCATGCTGGTGTTGTCACAAACAGCATATGACTGAACCACCGTAATAATACAATACAGTGCTACAACAAGCCCAATTTTTGCGTCTCTGCTCTTGATCATATTTGCTCTGGTTTTTGGCATTGAAAACCACATAAGATGAAATTCCTACAAACACAAACAAGGATGCGAGTGTATTTCTTATTAGAGTAAAAGCCTACCAGCTTCTGGCAAAAGTTATGCCAAGAAAGAAAACGTTCTGAGCACTACCAGATTGCAACTTGGAAAACCCCAATGATAATTTCTATTAATGTATAAAAACAGTAATGGGCATTATATGCAGGAGGACTAAAGAAATATACGTGTTTGGCATACCTTTGTCCTGTTCAGTTTTGCCAAGGATTGTTCGTATCTCCATCCCCAAATGATCCTGAAAGACCCCTCTGGCTTTCTGAAGATTCCTCAGTCTGTCTTTGTTTGCTTTATTTTGAGACTCAATTACTGCAAAGGTGAAAAAAACATAAACAAGCACAGAGGTCAACAGAACTGAAACCAATGTGTGCTGACGTCACAAATGTACTTCTGTCATACACCATCAGTTCAATTTTAAAACATTGTCTTACAGTCTTTCCTCTTGGTTTGTTCTTCTTTAAGTTTCTCAATCTTCTGGATGATGTCCTCTTTCTGCATCTCCTTCTCCTGAATCTCAGTTATCATTCCAGATATGACATGCCGTTTCTCCTTCAATGACGCATTTTTTTGTTCCAAGTCTGGGGGGGATAAAGATTTCATCAGTCCAAGTTCATCCTAACACAACACAATGCAGCTGCCTGGCATCTATCTTATCACCAAAGTGCTGAAACAAGAGTACAGATGGTAACAGTGATGGTGTGTGGCATTTACACATAAACGGAGCTACAACTGAGTGGCATGGCACACATGTTAAGTACAGATGTAATTCTGTGTGGCCTATCGCAGAAACGTACCTTTTTTGAACGTCTGTATTGTCTCAAACAGCATCTCATCGTCCTTACACTTTTTAAAACATGTATCTGCATAAAAGAAAAAAACATCAATAAATAACCATCCGATCAGTTAAATCTCGCATTGAGAACAACTGCAGACTAAACCTAAACTGTATATGATCTATAATCCACTTGGTCCTCCTTCCTGATTTGTTGGGCCATATTCTATGTGATAAAATATTCCCAAAATGCAACCACACCAGTTCAGGAGTTTTTGCATACACCATGTTACAACCTTAAACATGCTAAATACACCACTGATGGCAGGTTTTCTTAATTTTAATTACCCAATTAACAGTAAGGGCTGAAAAATGTTGTGGTTCTGAAAGAGGCCCACTGCTCAACTTAGAAAAAGTTCAATATTATGCATTAACATACTACAAGGACAAGTGGAATAGGCAAGGTAACAGGAGAAAAAGTCTTTATTGCAAGCTTCAGCAATCACTCCACATTTGAAAGATTTAACCAGCTTGGTTAAAAAAAAAAAATTAGGGTTCACTAGGGAAATATACGGACATAGAATATTTGAAACTTACCAAGTGCTGACTTCACAAACTGTCTGTGGGACTGGGACAACTCGACAGTCGTGTCAATTATGTTGGCGTACGTTTCAAGCTGTTTGTTGTGGATCTGCTCCATTGTACTGGTGAACTTGTCACTCATGTTTGGGTCAGTAATGGACATCATGATGTTCTGATATCAATCTGTGACAACAACAGCAGACAGCACCATGTTTACTGCATGCACTTTAAAAAAAAAAAAAGAAGACATTTAGCAGAGCACTTTCAATATTTTTTGACAACAGGTTGTTGCTGTTAAGGTTACTGGTCTATTCTAGTTAAATATTTGTGTTTCATAACCAAAAACAATCTTTAAGGAAACAAAAAGTTAAGGCTGGAGTTGAGAAACCAAATACAAAAGGGTATTTCTTTCAGCAAAAGAACCCAAAATGGCCCAAAGCAGATGATATGCATCCCACTAACTACATTTCTTGTAACCAAATAACTGTGACCAAAAAATATTTGCAGTTTATTGCGTAATCAGGCATGAAATTTAGGAGGATGTAGAACTGTAACAGTGCTTCCAATGTCTGTGTAGATTATCAGTCATGCAGGTCTTGGTGATCCTAGGAGCACCAGTAAAAAACAACTGGATTTCTCTTTCAGGTTGTTGCAAACAAAGAGAAATCCAGTTTCTTTTAACTGAACCTCCTAGGATTATTATTTTACAGGGTTAAGGCTGTATGCGTTTGATCTGTCTAATACTCTTGTTTAGACTGTACAACAAGAGGACTTGCAGATGGGTTTGAACTGTTTAAAGCCCTTCGTACGTTGACGTAGCTAATTTGAAACGACCATATATGTTAAGTTTGGATTGAAGACTAATGTACGATACAGAGCGATGTACTGTCCCTTTACAAAACTACAAGTAACTGGTACTAATGTGGTAAAAGCCTAAACAGCGACACTAGTTGTCTTTAATCTGTAAGCTCTGCGCTAGCAACATTAGCATGCTAAGGCTAACGTTAGCGTATAGTTAGCCGTAAGTTAGCTTAGTTAAAAAGTCCGTTACTTAGGCAGCAAATTAAACCAACTGACTTCTTTACAGCTGAAAATCGGTCTTGCTGGTTAGTTTAAGGTTGTATTTAATACTCACATGTGTAAAATTGCAGCCGGTGGACAACTCGTCTTGCTATTAATTCGGTCGTTATTTTCAAAAATCCGCGGTCTGTACACAGGGAGGCGGGCACTGAACAGGAAATGACGTATATTATCTTACTTCCGTATACAAGTCGGTTTAATAACGTTTTTGTTGTTTTTTTTTTTGTTTGCTTGTTTTTTAAATCTATATTTACATCTTAGAGGAGCTGTGTTTCCAATGTGTGTTTTCTTCCTATATTTTAAATAATATTATTAATTTGTTAATTTCTGCAACATGTTAAAGTACAGCCAGGATCAACTTAATGCTCTCATGGTGGAACACTTCTGCTTTTGTTGCAGCTTTATTCCACCTTGTGGTCAATTTGAGGAACTTCAGAAAGTTCTCAACGAAAGTGCTCAACAGCATCCAGCACAAACCCTGCACAGTGAAATGATGTTATTGCCAATATTGTGCATGCAAGTTCTCAATTGAGAGATTTCTACAGTTTTAACATGGGAAGAAAACCTATTAGTTCTAGATGCACTCAGTGAACTCTGCTTTGGATGCCAGATGGGCTGTGTTTTTCAGTTACAGTATTATGGGAAGCCCATTTTGTTGCTACGCTCACTGAGAATGAGAATATTAATGAGGCTGAAAGGATCCAGGGGGTTACGTGGGTCTCTTTTCGTGTGTTCAATGGCTAATATTTAACAATCGTAAAAGCAATGTTCTGTGAAACATCTAATGGCTACGCAGTCAGGATGTAAACAGTTTTGTAACATGTCTTAAAATGCTGAGCTCTCATAGCTTGGGAACACATTATTTGATTCCTTATGGGTTCAATCTGAAGATCTTGCAGTTGTTGCCATGGCTTTGTTGAATGATTTATGGTGTCAGGTTGAGATATAAAGCGATCGTGCTGCTTTGACTGGAGCTGTAGAAGCAGTTGTGCATACAGAACGGGAACCAGATGGATTTCGTCTACAGCTTTGGTGTGCTGGTTATACAGCACCTGCAGTCGAACTACCAGGAATATCATGACTTCCTCAACTTCATGTCAACAGTGGGGGACCCTCGCAATATTTTCTCAGTTTATTTCCCCCTCTGGTTCCATCTCAGTCATAATGTTGGCACCAAGATGATATGGGTGGCTGTCATTGGAGACTGGTTTAATCTCATTTTCAAATGGTAAGGAAACTCTGAGGATCACATTTTATCTTCATTTTGAACACTTATAGACTTGAGCATGTTCTTTTCTAGGATTCTGTTTGGACAGCGGCCTTATTGGTGGGTGCAAGAAACTCAGTTCTACCACAATGACTCAATACCTCATTTGGAGCAGTTTCACATAACATGTGAAACAGGGCCAGGTTAGTGTGTATTCAGTGCATTTTAGCCAATTAAAGCAGTGCAAACAGTGCCAAACAGCCTCTTTGATGTTTCTTTGTGTAGGTAGTCCATCTGGTCATGCCATGGGCTCATCGTGTGTGTGGTATGTGATGATCACCTCTGCTCTACATTTTGCTCGACCCTCCAGTGTCTCGTCTGTCTGGAATTTTCAAAGGTGAGAATCTATACTGTGTCTAGACAATACAGCGAGTAGTTCCCTTGATACCGATCCGGTCTGAATATTTGTATTCCATCAGGTTTCGTCTTCTGAGGTCCTGCTTGTGGATGGCCTTTTGGGTCATTCAGATAAGTGTTTGCATCTCAAGGGTTTTCATCGCAACACATTTCCCACATCAGGTCATCCTGGGTCTTTTCACTGGTATGTTCCACTCTGCTGTTACATACTTTATTTTTCATGTACTGTTGTGTTTCATGTTAGAGTTAATCATCTATTGTTTTGTTTTTTTTCTTCAATGTGTAGGTATGCTGGTTGCTGAGGTGTTGGATCACATCCCCTCAGTCTACAATGCAAGCTTGAAAGTGTATCTGCAGGCCAATGTTTTTCTTTTATCTTTGGCCGTTTGCTTCTACCTGCTGCTCAGACTGATGGGCACCGATCCTCTGTGGTCAGTCGCTAAAGCAAAGAAATGGTGTGCTAACCCAGACTGGATCCACCTGGACACCACACCGTTTGCTGGTCTGGTAAGAAACCTGGGAGCCCTGTTCGGTCTCGGCCTGGCGCTGAACTCTGAGATGTTCGTTCAGAGCTGTAAGGGCAAGAATGGCTACAAAACCGCATTTAAACTGATGTGTGTGACTGCAACTCTCACATTTCTGCAGCTGTATGATTTTATCAAAATGCCAACTCACACCGAGGCGCTGTTTTACATTCTGTCATTTTGCAAAAGTGCTTCAATACCTCTTGGTGTGGTCGCTGTCATCCCTTACTGTGTTCATTTGCTGATCAGAGACGAGGAGCGGAAGCTGGCTTAGATTAAAGAGGAACTGTGAAGCTCAGTAAAGTGTTTCAGACACTTTCTCATTAACATTACAGGATATCACATGGTCCTGTTGGCAGAGAAGCAAGTACATGTCACTTGTTACAGTCATTTACACTCACGGCACAATCTCTCATAAGCACTGAAACTGCAATAACATGACTGTGTTCAAATAGTAAATATGTCTGTATTTTGTTTAGATTGAACATAAAGTATGGCGTGTGTTGTGCCTGAGTTCCTGTTCTTTTATGTTGTTTGTTTTATATTTACTGTATAACTAACTCTATGTGTGTATATGTGAAATGCTGTTTGGAATTCATAGATTTCTTAATAAAGATTTTTTTTTGAAAATGGTTCACACCGACTACATTAACTGGAAGATGCTTTGCCCAGAGCTGTTTCTGTTTTTCCCACAAATACACATTGGGAGACATTTAGGCTTCATCAGCTATATAGCTCAAGGATGTTTTGAGAGATTAATGGCCACAAGACGTTTTCTGAAGGAGGTTCACTGTGATAAGGAATAAATATTAAATTGAAATAAATAAATGAGTTTGTTTGCTCCAGACAATGCCCAAAGCAAGGTCATACCTGACATTTAAACGCAAACTTCATTCTGTCATAACAATCAGCGTTTACATTCTCCATATGTACAGTATAGGAACTGAAAAGATAGATCATTTTATTTTATTATTATTTTTTATGAAATATTTTTTATTTATTTTAGAAATTACAGGTACAGGCATCAGAACATAAAACAATATATTTCCCACAAATGTCAAGGTATTAAGGATGATCAGCGTAATAGATGACCATGCATACCCATATGAGACACAAACATACATACAAGCAAGCATGCAGATGGCGTACAATACAGATGTAGAAGGCTTTGTGCAAAATCAAAACTCAAGGGGCAGCAGAGACATTAGCCAGGTAGTGGCAAACTAAAAGTGAATGTGCCCAGAGATTTCAGTCCATGCTAGTCCATATAGACCCCTCCGCAAAGCACGGGCCCCCTCCTCTCCAATATAGTCCAGAAAAGGATTCTGAAAAATTTAAATGAATTGTCTTTCAGCCAGAAGCTTATTGCTTCAAGAGAGGCAAGGTCCATAATGTTCCTGATCCGATACAAAATCCAAAGTGAAGTAATCGGGACAGTGTCCAATATCCATCGGAGGAGAATATATCTCCTGGAACCAAACAGCAACACCTGAAGCAGCGTCAGTGAGGAAGGGGTTAGGTTCACTGCAGAGAGTTAAACACCCAAAATATAGGAAATGGGTTCTAGGGATAGTTTCTTCTTGAAGATAATATCAATTTCTTTACAGACACTGCACCAGAAGTCAGCAACAAGGGGACAGTCAAGAATGCAATCTAAATATGCGCCTTTGCTGATTTTACATTTGTTACAGTATTTTGAAAACAGAGGATTACAGAGAATTAAAGATTATTTTATTTAATGGTGCTTAGTTTAAAAAAAAAAAAAAAGGCAGGCGAACTATGTATTAAGAATATATCGTATTAGAAATGACCGAGTCTCTCAACATTCAGATTATGCTGCAAAATAAAAACAATGACTATTCAAACAGGGATAATCTTGCAGCTCAACAGCAAACCTGACATATTCTTTTCTATAATTCTCTACATTTTCCAGGACCCACTGAATCATCCGGCTCTGTCAGTATTATATAATCTCTTATGGGTCTCTTAGCTTCTTCTGGTAAATTCAGAAATGAATCAACCAAACTGTAATGAGGTAGAACAGAGTCTCTGATGTAACTTGATTAGGCAGATGAACTTAACTTCCGAGCAGAACCCATTTCCACGTCTTTTCCCACCATCTCCGGTTGCTTAGCATCCAGTGGCACCTGAGGCCTGGCATCAAGTGATGTAACTCCTGTCCTGAGTGCGTGGGCTCCTTGTTAAGCCAAGCTTGAAGAAACATCTGTGTGTCTGGGTACTTTATTTTGACTTTGTATTCAGGAATAAACAACAGAGCAGCAACAGCCTACGCTTTATCCATGACAGCTTTCACATAGTTAACTTAAACATTTATCCAAAAACAACAAAAAAAAATAATTGGAGCAAGCAAAGTTTTACGTAGTTTTAACACTTTAAAAATACGGGGAAAAATATTTAAATTATTTGCATTATACTTTTACAACATGATATAACATTGACCTTCATCCAGCTGATCACGTTCAGGTAAAAAAGCGAAACCCTTACATTCAATATCTTGTCGTTCATTTCAGTGATGATGAGCACTTGTTTTTTTCCACTTACTGATTTTGTTTAAAAGTCCAACAGCGCCCCCCAAATCCTTGAATTCCCAACTAAGCCTTGAAGTCAGACAGTCAAATACAAACTATGACAAAGTTTAAAAGATTACAGTAACACTGAGCTGGACCGAAATATTGTGCTGTGAACAAAACATAGTGTTTTAGTTCAAAGAAATCATGGTAGAACATTAGAAATATGCACTTTCAGGATTGTGTCATTATATGCAAGAAGAAGGAAAAACATGATTGAAATTTTTCAGTGCGGGAATAATAGTAGAGTGTAGTGTTGTCCTTTTTGTGAGTACCGCTGTATTGTGTGACGATTTCTTATTCAAATAATCAAACAGTACATAATGCACTCGTACTAGATGCATATAAAAATCCTCATCCTTTCATTTACATAAGCTACTAGTAAACAAATAAATACACAATAAATAGCTTTACTGCCATACAATTAGTAATAACCTACATAATTAGTTAAAATGAACATAAAACCAGGTTAATGTGCAGGATATGACGTTACCTCATGTGAGACTTTTTCAGTGTGATATCACAAGATGACATGAAATCCATTCAAACGGGTGTAAACTATGACAAAACTGATCTCTCTCATATGCTCTTTGTATCACGTTGCTGCAGGCGGCTAGCTGATAGGAGCGCCTGTTGTGACCAGTTTATAGTAGGCGCCCTTCTGGGCCATGAGTTTGTCATGCGTGCCCTGCTCTATGACGACTCCTTGTGACATCACTGCTATGATGTCAGCCGTCTGGATGGTTGACAGCCGGTGAGCGATGACAATGCAGGTTCGTCCTTTTCTCGCCTCGTCCAGAGCGGACTGGACCGTCTGCAGGGAAACAGAACGCTGTCATGAGAATGTTCTCCTGGTGTTTTGTGTAAGTATTTGGAGATGAACGCTACACATGTTGATCATGTAAAGACTGACTGAGTGCAAAGGAATGCTTTACTTTCAGTGGTTGTAAAATGTATCATACCTTTTCACTTTCTGTGTCTAAGGCAGAGGTAGCCTCATCTAACAGGAGGATCTTGGGGTTCCTGACAATGGCCCGGGCGATGGCGATGCGCTGTTTCTGTCCTCTTGACAGCTGAGACCCCTGAGAACCAACCTGGGTCTCATATTTCTACCAGTCGTGACAGAAGGGGAGAAAACAAAAAGTCACATGTAGAGCTATTGTTGTAATTGAAATAATTGTATTGGCGTGGTAAACTTGTATGATTTACTTCTGGGATTTCAGTGGCAATGTCTGATATGTTATAAGTGAGTTCAGCTTTATTTGTTGTTTAAAATATGACTTATACGTAACAAAGTCCACGTGACAGATGACTTTAATCTCATTCTTGACCTTGGAAACACTACAACAATTTAACCCCAAGGTCCATTTAACAGTTTTTCTGAAGCTTTCAATCACATTACATGATCCAAACTAGGTGGTCATGGATTTGTAGATTTTAAAGCTTTCATTTTTGGCTGTCAGCTTGAAAACAGTGCAAATGCAGTCAGCTGAGGAAGATCGTGTGATGTGACCAAGAGCTTGAGAGCAGCTACTAAACAGACCCTGTGGTGAGATTTTGTTTTTGCCAAATAAGCTGACACCTTTCAAAGCAGCTTTTAATGTGAGTGCTCTGTCAACTCTTCATCATGCTGCCCGTTTTCCACTGAAAGGAACAAATGATTAGTCGGTGATTTAGTTTTAAGCATCAGTATCACAGTGAAATTAGCCTCCAGCAAAGTATGAATATTTAATCTGTGCTTGATTTAACTACACAGCATTCTTGTTAACAGCCACAGTGTGACCAGACTAACAATGATGACTTCAGTGGTCGTTCATGTAAAATTTAATCATCAGGTAAAGTGTTCCACTCACGTCTGGGAGCGCCATCACAAAGTCATGAAGAAAGGCTTTCTTTGCGGCCTCAACGATCTCCTCCATGCTGACGTTGCGCGTGTTGTCACCGTACTGTATATTCTCGGCGATGCTGCAGTCAAACAGAACAGGCTCCTGGGACACGATGCCAATCTGAGATCTCAGGAACGGCACATTGACTGAATGAGATCGATGGCCATCAATCAGCTGAAAAATAAAGATACACAGTCACAGCTGAGTAAATGTCTTTGGGATATATATTGAACTCATTTTGCGATTTCAGGAAACTAATGTCTAAAACACACACCACATGTCCTTCATCAGGGTCGTAGAACCTTTCCAGCAGTTGAACACTGGTGCTCTTGCCACAGCCGCTGCTTCCAACAAACGCCAAAGTCTGACCGGGCTTCACAGACACAACCAGGCCCTTCAGCACCTGGCTGTCTGGTCGGCTCGGATAGGTAAACTTGCAATTAAGGAACTCTATGTTCCCTTTGAAGTTGTCCTAAAAAAATGAATAAGACTTGTTATAGTGACACTGTGACAAAATGACACTTTAGTTTGCATACCTCTTACAAATTTAATTAAAATCCACCTACCCATTTCTTTCCATCTGACGGGCTGATGCTGACTTTAGGAACTCTGTCCAACATTTGGAAAAACTGAGCAGCAGCAGATTTGGCTTTGGCGTAATCTGGAGTGAAGGAGGAAGCTCTGCCCAGTGCCGTCCCACTGATGACTACGGCTGAGATCACTCTGGAGACACGTCACATGAGCACAGTGTTGGCATCGCATCTCAAAATTCAAAGTATGATTGATTACATAAAGCCAGAGAGTTACCTACCTAAAAACAAACATGTACTGAAGCCCCTCAGTGCTGACCAGGTAGCCTCCATATCTAAACGAAGCAGCGTAGGCCATGAAGATGACACACTGGGCAAAACCAAAACATAACCCATAGATGTTGGCTTTCTTCTTAGCAGATGTATATGGGAGCTCGAGTCTCTCTTCGTATGATTTCACAAATAAGCTCTCTTTGGCCAAGCCTGCTATTGTCCTGATGTTGGCGAGAGCCTCACTGGACACCTGTGGGAGAGAAAACACTGGTCAGTCTCGATTTACACAGAGGAATTCTTAGCCATCAGGACATGTAAATGGTGAATGTTCTGGAGGGATTAGCTTACTTGTCCTGCTTCCTCCATGGCTTTTTTGTCTTCATTTGCAAAACCTGTCAGCATTTTGGCTTGGAAAGCTCCAGACAGCCCGAGGAGAGGCAGGAAGCACATAATTACCAACGTTAACTTCCAGCTGAAGTAGAAGGCGATGATGAACGAGGCTCCTATGCTGGTCAGCGAGTTAACAATCATGCCGATCTGAGAACCTGTCGCCTGCAGAAAACAATCCAGCCACAAGCAAAACAGCATTGTTAATACCATGTCAGAACTACACTCCCATAAGAGATATTAGGTCTTTAAATGGCAGCTCACCCCCTGGACCATGGAAGCGTCTGTGGCCAGTCTGGTGGTCAGAGCTCCAGGACTGTTTCTATTGTCATCAAACCAGCCGATCTCCTGTCTCAGCATGGCCTGGAAGCCCACTTTCCTCAGGCGACGGGTCAGCAGCTCTCCAGATTTTGCAAAAGCGTAACCCTGAAAACATTAAATCAAAGCTGATTCTGCTGTGCTCTATACTGAGATAACGATGAGTCCAAATGTCAATTCTGTGACAAGGATTATTCTGACACAAACCTGCACAAACTGTGAAAAGAAGCTGACCACAGCCACAAGACAAAACAGAACACAGATCCCGTTGATCTGCTCCCTCTGCTCAGTTACGTCACGAATGGCAAAGGTCTGTAAAAACAGAAGGCATAGATATAAACCAGCCAATTCAACTTGTAAAAAGAGATTATGCATTTGTCATGGGAGCAGCCTTTACCCCAAGGATCTGGCTGAACAGAACAGCGTAGATGGGGTTGATCGAGCCATTGATAGCAGCTCCCAGGGAGCCCAGCAGCATGTAGGGCCACTCCGGCCGGTTGTACTTCAGGATGCGTGCAACTGGAGCAGGCTCCACATGTTCGTCTGCATCATCCTCAAGTTTCTATTAAGATACATGTGTTAGAGCAGGTCATTTCCATAGGATATACAATAATAAAGTAGTGCGTTGCAAAGCATTAAAAAGAGGTCTCACATCGTCTGGTGTGATGTGCTCGTCAGAAAGCATACTGAAGCTGCCTGATAGTACATCCGGGACAAAATCGGAAGACAGTTTGCTCTGAGATCGCAGTCGAACAGAGCTCCTGTAGAGAGTTACAATTCATTTTTACTGATGATGACCTATTCATACATTTTCTCTGTATGGACTCTTTTAGGCAGATTTACTATTGGGTTCACCTTTTACTAGATCTGGAGCTTCCACGGCTAAAACTCCTCACTCGTTGATCAAAATCTTCTTCAAGAGACTCACTGATCACATCTAGAAGACAAAAAATGTAAGTAAATGCAGCTTTAATGCAAATATGGGAGCTTTCATTGCTTTTAACAAACACAGCAAAGACAAACTAAAACACATTTGACCTGTGACACCTGCTGCATGCTTTTAAATGTGCTGCTTTAGTCAATCAGAGAACCCAATGATTCCTCATCAGTGTTGGATTAGTGGACTCAGTGTGGCAAGTTTAAGCCTCCACTGCATCAGTTGCGGCTGCACGACAAATATCACCTCTGACTGTGTGCGACAGAGGAAGGTGAACAGGGAAAAACAGATGGTAGCTGATGGCTGAAGCAGTGCATGCAAATTTCAGTGCCCTGCTAAGAATAGAGTTTTAGAGGGCAACGAGGATGTGGACTTAACTGTATTAGAGCTGAATTGCCACAATTTTTTTTTTTTACAACCAATTAACCATTTAGGTAATTTATCAAGCAAAAATATGGATCAATGTATCTTCGTAAGATCTAAAATCTGCAGTTTTTCTGTTGTTAACTGAGCATATTTGGTTTTTGAGCCGTGCTTGTCTGAAATAAGACACCTGAAGATGTTCATGTGAACTTTAGGATGGCGATTTTCTGAGAATTTTCTGACATTTTATTGCCCAAAAAGGTCAAAGCTAGTAAAATAAGATAAAATATGATAAGATAAGATAAGACAAGATAAGCCTTATCTATCTCACAGTGGAGAAATTCACAGTGCTGTCAGCAACAAGACACACAGAGATAGACACATACTAGAAAGAAAAAAATTACATATAAAAATACTGCAAACATAAGAATAAAAATACACATAAAATAGATATAGAAAAGAAAGAATAAAGGTATAATAATAATAATAATAATAATAAGAAGAAGAAGAAGAAGAAGAAGAAGAAGAAGAAGAAGAAGAAAACATTTCGATGCCTATGAATATCACTTGCAGCCCTGCTTCACTACAGTAAATCCTACCGTTAGCTGTGTTGGATGAGCCTTGGTTCTGCAGCGTGACCAGAGTGAAGTAGACGCCCTGCTTCTCCAGCAGCTCGCTGTGCGTTCCTCTCTCCACAGCCTGCCCGTGCTCAAACCCAATGATGACATCTGCGTTTCTAATTGTGGACAGTCTGTGGGCTATAGAAATTGTTGTCCTTCCTGTCCGTACCTGCAGGTATAACGGTTATTAGGGTGCCATCCTATAATGTTAATGTGTTCCACGTATGCAGTGTATGGACTCACATTGTCTAGCGCTGCCTGGACGATAGCTTCACTCTCATTGTCCAAGGCAGATGTGGCCATATCCAGCAGCAGGATTCTGGGGTTTCGGATGAGAGCTCGAGCGATAGCAATCCTCTGCTTCTGTCCTCCACTCATCTGGCCTCCACCGTCACCCACCAGAGTGTCAAATTGCTGGTGGTCAGAATGGTACAAATGAACATGTAGCATGAGATTATGAAACCGCTGCAGTTCTGTTGTATTGTCACTCAGTATGGAAATGTACCTGTGGTAGATCCATTATGAAACTGTAAGCATTAGCTTCCTTTGTTGCCTGGATAATGTCTTCCATGGTGACCCCAGGCCGACCATAGCGGATGTTCTCTGCAATGGTTGTGGCAAACAGCACTGGTTCCTGCTCCACAATACCGATGAGAGAGCGGAGCCACCGGATGTTTAGGGTACGGATGTCATGGCCGTCCAAAGTCACCTGAGAGCGACATTAGATTTAAAGATATTACGGTGAAGCCTTCAAACAATTCACTGTGTTGTCCTTGAGGCTGCTCAGGTAGTTACCATTCCTTCCTTTGGGTCATAAAACCTCTGAATGAGCTGAACTGTGGTGCTCTTTCCAGAACCACTCGGCCCAACGAAAGCAGTGGTTTCTCCCGCGTTGATCTTCATGCTCAGATTATCTAAAATCTGAAAAAGTAGTTGCATGAGTTTAAATATGAAAACGTGAAAAATTGACGAAACAAATGCCAGACGATGAGCGTTACCTTGACTTCTGGCCGAGATGGGTAGTAGAAAGAGATGTCATGGAACTCAATGTCGCCTTTTACTTTGTCTAGCTTGTGGCCCTCTTCTGATAAACAATCAATTTCTGGTTCCTGTGAACGCAACGACAAAGAAAGTTACAACATGAGGCTGATTTGATTTAAACTTTCTCTCACTCTAGTCATTGACTAATGAAAGCCACACATTTGGAAGTTTTTTATGAAAATAATCCCTTCCTGTTGCTTGCTTTAGAATGTGGAGATCTATGACCTTCTCACATACTCCTCCCCAAATGCTGCAGCTCAAGCAAACCAGCTCACTACAGCTCTGCTCAAACACTGTTAAACTGCTCTGTGCTACACAATAGATAGATAGATAGATAGATAGATAGATAGATAGATAGATAGATAGATAGATAGATAGATAGATAGATAGATAGATAGATAGATAGCATCTTGGTTTTACCCGGTCAATTGTTTCAAAGATGGACTTTGCAGCTGCTCGTCCAGAAGCGAAAGCCTCCAGGCACGGCGAGGCCTGGCCAAGGTTCATAGCTGCCATCAGCACTCCAAAGAAAACCTGAAAAACAAACACACAGGTTGAGACAAAGAGCACTTGTATTTCAAATAGCATCAGAAGATAGAGTTTAACTTTACCTGAATGAGACCACCAGGAGACAGCTCCTTGGTGTCGATGACTAGTCTGGAGCCGTACCAAAAGGCCAAAGCGTAACACAGGAAGATGATGCACCACAGGTATCCTTGAAACACTCCTATGATTGTGCCCTTTTTTACTCCCCAGTTCTGAGCCTCCACCAGGTTTTTGTCATACCTGTGCAAAGTTGAATGTGGTTTCAGATAAGAAAGTAATGGCATCATCATTTGTAATATTCGTTCAAGTACTACACAATACCTCTCGGCTTCCTTTTCCTCTCCACCGAAAGCTGCTACTGTTCTGATGGCAGACAGAACCTCATCAGCTACGGCTCCTGCCTTTGCATAGGCCTTTAGCTCTCGTCCTGTCAGCCTGGCCACAGCCTGAGGAAACACAGACGAAGGATGCATTTTAAATAAATACTAAAAAAAACCACACCACAAACAGTAAACATCCACTCCCGGATCTCTCACCATAGCCATCAGTCCGGCAGCTAGTCCAATCAGAGGGCTCACTGCGATGACCACCAGAGTCAGCTTCCACCCACCCATGAATCCAACCATGAAGCCAAACACAAACGTGGAGAGCCTCTCAATGAATATCGACACCTGATCAGCGATTGCGTTGTTGATCTTGTTGATATCACTGAGAAGGAACAGAATACAAAGGAGTCAGTTTCTCAGCCCTGATAAGACCTGAGTTGCAGATAGAGAGCCACCAACTTACTCAGATATCCTCGTGTTCAGTTCTCCTACAGAGTTGCAGTCAAACCATCCGATCTCCATTCGCATTACTTTCCTGAAGTAGGTCTTTCGTATTCTCTGAATTTGTCTTGCAGCCGAAAACACCCAGAAGTAAATCTACAAAACAGATCATGTTCAGTCATAACTGCTTAAGTGGGGGTTAATTAAAGCTGAATGTAGTAATCACTCACCTGAAAATAACTCAAAACCAGAACTCCTAATCCAATCCCAATGTAGTAATATGCGAACATGGTCATCTGTGATTCAATGTCCACCCTACCAGGAGAATAAAACGAGCAACATCAACATCAGCTCCTCTCTAACAGCAACACCACATTCTCAGTAAATGAAAGACGTACCCGCAGGCCACTGTGCTGTTTTCAGCTGTTTCATATACGGAACCGTTAATCCAATAGATGGTGTCGTTGTTGCACGTCTTGTTTGGGTCTTTCAGTTCTTGCACTTCGAGCTCATAAGCCACAAAAGTGTTCGTCATCATGCCGTACACCAGGAGCATGAGAGGTGAAGCGGCGCCGTGGATGAGGGCGCACAAACTCCCCACCACCATCATCAGGGTGTCTTTCCAGGTGGCAAATCGAAACTGGCGACAGGAATTCATGGGGGTTTATTCAAATTCTTCAAGAATTTGTTCCACATTTTCTTCTTGAGCAATTCAAAGATAGAACATTCTAAAAATGTCTTAGAAAGCGACTGCAAGAGAATGATAATATATATAAAGAGAAATATTTACCAGTTGGAAGCAGCCAACACTGAGTGCATTTTCCTTTTCCTTCTCATCTCTGTAAAACACAGAATTTAGATCATACAAAAAACCACACACACAAAAACCAAGACACAATATATTTTCAGTCTCTCAATGCAAACTTACTCTTTCAGATTGTCACCTGGAAAAAAAGGGGAATCTGTATTTAGTATTGCCCAAAATTGCATTACAAAATTGAAACAACATTTTGTCAGTTTTGAAGTTTCTCACTCACCTCCGTTATCTTCACCTGGTGTTGCAATCTTGTGCGATTTCTTCATGTTAGCTGGCCTGACTCAGGCTGGCGTTTCCGCACTTGACAACTGTGGATTTAAAGAAATATTAAAAGACAAATAAATATAAAATTAGATAAAACTTCAAGATAATAACCGAAGAAGTCCCTTGGAGAGAGATGAAATGTCTTCTAGAACCTAAAAACCAAAGAGAGAAGTCCAGTTGGTTCTCACTGAAGCTACTTGAATTAAGATAATAATTTAAGTACAAGTGGTTCCAGTCACTGTGTATTTAATAAAGACACAAACAGACCAGACAGGATCTGCTGGAAACTGAGAATTCGGTTTGGATTGAAAACTTTTTTTTCTCATGTAAAAATGTGGCCTTGTTCAGGATTTTCAGTTTCCACTGAGCTGCATGGAAAATGCTTCACTAATGCCAACAACAAAACACCATAAAGGACAAGAACAGCAGCTATTAATGGAGGATTTTGGTGAAAGCTGAAGAAAAACTGTAACAGCTCGTGATGCCACAAAGGTGAAACGCACAGTACCTGACCTCTCGTAGCAGAATCTCTGGTTTCTTCGAAAATCCCAGAACAACGCTGAGGCTCATCAGACGACATACCCGTCTTATATTCCAGTTAACCTATGCCTCCCCTTTCCCATTATCTACACCTCCATTAGACTGATAAGACCTCTATCAGCGGTGGCCTCTCCCGCACTGTCTTTGGAAGAGAAAATCCAATCACTCATCAAGCTATTTTGCATCGACAGCAGCTGTTCTGGTCTTAATAATCGAGTAAATAAACTGTATTTTAAAATCTGATTGTAGAAGTTGTCATCCTATTTTTCTTGTTGGGTTTTTTTTGCACATATTTTTGCTGTTGCCTGTCTTGTCGTAGGATGGGTGTAATATGAAAACTTGGCTTGATTTGAGTAGACAGTACTATCACTTTAGGTTCAATAAGCAAACAGATTAGATTGTTTTCCAAATAAGATGTTTGCTAACGTCGTATTGTTACGATGCATCAAGAAAATCAGTTTGAATAAAGGTATTTTATTGTTATCAATCGAGATTGTAAAAAAGGGCTTACTGACCTTAAGGTCGTTGATCGGAGTCGTGAGTTATCTCAATACAATCATTATACAAATACTAATCATGCAGAACGTCCGGTCCCTACTGGCCAATAGAATTGTTTTATCACTCTTTTATTATTCACAATTTTTAACAAATATTAATGAAGGCTACACAACCAAGAACTTAGTGTTCCAGGGAATTATTTCAGCACTAGTCACACTAGCACTGACATTTCATCTATCTGAGGTTAAATTGTTAATTTAAAATGTTAAAGTATTTGTGACATTTTATTGGGTTCATCATCCCACCTGTCAGTCAACTCAATATTGTGAGTTTATCTAATTCACAGTTGCAAAAATTTGAATGGTACAAAACCCAGAATATGTGTGAAACTACAAAAAAAAAAGTGGAAACAGAGACACAACTGTAGTAATAAAGCAGATGCTTGAGGGGTTAATGCCCGCTAAGACAAGCAGTACAGGGTGTCGGAGTTTGCTCCTTCTTTACAGCCGCTTATTATTCACAACAGGTGATTGATAATCCCTCAGTCAGGAGGGGGCTGGAGACAGAGAGAGTCTCACAGAGCTCTGATGCTGACGCCGACAACAACAACTGTCATCAGATATTCCTGAACTACACACACATTTAAGCTTTTTAAAATGCTTTTAATTGCAACAGAAGTTCCATTAAAGCAAGTGTAACTATTTGGTTTCCAAAATAGTGCTCTGTTGCATTAAGAATAGATGACGACGCACCTTCTAGCCGACTTCGCAATGCATTTTGCACAGTCTGAACCATAACAACAGGAGTGATGACAGCCGGAAATGACCATTTTTGCTGATAAAATTCAAATTAGGTGGGTTTTTCTATAGGTTTTATAAGTATATGTGAATTTGTGACATGAACAGAACAGTTTGAGAGACTTTAACTCAACCTTTGTTTAAACACTGATGTTGAGGCCTCATTTTTATTATGGCAGAACAAAAATACAACAGAAGACGTAGGCATTAAACAAAAACTTGTCAATAAAGAAACTGTAATAAAATTATTGAGACGACAAATTCATGAAATCATAAAACCATCAAGAGTAAATGGAGTATTTAAGGTTTAAGACAAGACAAGACCTGGTGGAAATAAGATAAAATTATATTAAAAACCTAAATTGGACCGAGGACAAAAGTGAGTCAAACTTTAGATTGTCTCAGGTGTGCAGTAAACAAACCTGGATTTTCCAAGCTCAGTAAAAACAGCCAGAACCTGCAACGTCACGCTTGTTTGAGCATGTTCAGTAACAGCCCACATTAAAAGCAGCTGTGGAAGAAATATTCAGAGGCTTATTTAGGTAAAAGTATAAATATAACAGCTTCTGTTACAAGTAAAAGCAATGAAAGGGTCACTTAAGTTAAACATGATTAAGAAATTGTACTTAAAGCACTAAAAGTAAAACTACTCACTGTAGAGAAAAAAGCCCACGTGACTTTTATTCTGTTGTTTATTGCTTCATTGCATTAGTATTACTCATTGATTGCATCATGTCAGTATTTTATTGCTGTAAATGGTAGGCGTGAAGCCAAACTAATACACATCAGGCTGCAACAGATGATGACGCATTTAACTGACTGTCTGGCATGAAAAAATGTTAGAAAAAGGTCTTAAAGCTAAAAGTGACACTGTGAAGATGCCTGCTTTGTCCAGACAACAGTGGAATTCTTTTAATTATTCAATTTAGCTGAATATTACACAATTTATATCTCGTCAATTCACAACAACACAAGTCATTTAAGGACATTTTGAGTTCAAGACCTTCTAAACTTGCAGCAAGAAACCCAACAACTGTCTTTGAACAGGTACAGCCTGATCAGCAGGAGGAAATCTGCACATTTAAAAAGCTGGAAGCATAAAATTTTGGTATGTTTGCATGAAACTCCCACAAACAGTTTTATTTTAGCCAATCAGCAAAGCATTTCAGCTCTACGTCTAAACACAGTTTGTCACACAGTATTTAAAAAAGGTCTTTTTACATTTTATATGTCAAAATTCTGTTTTTTTAATTAACTACAGCTCTTACAGAAATGAAATACAACATTTTCTAAGCATAAAAAGTTGGAAATACTCAAGTAAAGTATCTGAACTTTGTAGTTTAGTGCAGAACTTAAGAACAGTTATATTTTACCACTGATGAAAAGTCAGCAGTGAAGTAATGTAAGGGGGTAAAAACCACAGTAGTGGCCTTATAATTAAATAAAGCACAGGGCGTATCACGCCTCACAGACAGACTGTTCCACCCAGTTTCAGCATAAAGTTCACCATGATGAGTATTATAATTATCGCTGATAAAAAATAACTCACTGGTGTAATAAAGAGGACTTAAGGGTCACAGCAGAGGTACACATGTATAAAATGGTCTTCAGCCCAGAGGAAAGCACAGCGTATTTCTATAATAGATAAACCACTTAACAAAAAGACAACAAACCTCAGGTAATTGTCTGTTCAGTGAAGGTTTCCAGAAGGCTGAAACTTTTAAAAAACGAAATTGATTTAGTGCCATAGTATGCTATTTAAATATTTATAGATTCTGCATTCAATGAAGTAAACAGAGTACATAGTGGCCTAGTTTGTGGTGCCAAAACAATTCAGATGTCCTAGGTCAAGGTACATTCCTTAAAGGACAGAAATGTGGGCATTCTGGATAGAGTAGTTTGAGACAGGAGTGACAGAAGTCAATCAGAGGTATCCATGTAAAACTGGAGCAGCCATCTCTACATACAGGAAGCTGTCTGCTGTGCCACTCATCGTGTACTTATGAGGCCGTCTGGAGTCTAGAGTTTGGCTTATAAAAGTCTTAAAAACAAATATTCACTGTTTGATTTCAGTTTATTTTGTAACAGGATGTACATCCATCCATTATCTATACACCGCTTAATCCTCACTGGGGTCGCGGGGGGGCTGGAGCCTATCCCAGCCGACTTAGGGTGAAGGCAGGGGACACCCTGGACAGGTCACCAGTCCATCACAGGGTAACAGGATGTACAGTGTGTATTAAATGGGATGGGTTATGTATTAAAATCAGTTCTATGCTCATTTTGTCCTTTTAAAAAATGCAAATTTTGTTCATGTACCACTATGAAAGTTGCATACTGCTAAAATTTGACACTGCTCTGAGTTTTTTTTTTAAAATATGTTTTTAATTATCTAAAAAATAAAAGTCGTTTTTGAAGAAATTGCTTTTTTTTTCATGTGTTAAAAATTGAATTTCTCAATACATTATCAACTAGCTCGCTGGAACTAAGCTAAGAAGAGCTAGCATGACCGTGGTTTAGCTTGCCTGCTTAGAAA